CGCCTTCTCTCCCTACTTTTTGCTATGCAGCGTGTGTTTAAAGGTGGTATATTCCCATGTGCCACTGCTTCCCGTGTCCTCTGTCAGAGAATGTCACACACTCCTCATTTGTCATTCTTCTCAGAGCTCAGAGGATGAGCAGGGAAGGAGAACTTGAGGTGAAAACTCAGAAACTTGTACGTGATGACAAAAGGGGATTATTTGTCACATGGATGTTTTTTTTATTCTAAATAGACGAATGAGCTTATATTAACATATACAGGCATTAAACGGAAGATAGAGTCAAATACATACATTTATAAATATACACACATACACACTGCCTCTGCCTTGGCTAGCCATCTCTGTCTAATTAGGAGGCAATAATCCGCTAGAGAAGAGTCATCAAATTCAGCAAAAAAACAAAACAAACACTCCATGGGCAGAAATGCATGTGTGCATACCGCCCCCGGACACGCACATGCATGCAATTCCACACATCCCACCGTTACGCAAATGTCAACCTTACATAAGCCCCATTAAGAAGAACACCATTTGGCATGGAAGGAGAGGAATGCGTCTTTGTTTTGCCTTTGTTTCTGCAGATTTGTTTCAACAAAGCCATTAAACATTCATTGCCTCTGCAGCGACTTGAGGTGGCTTCCCTGGCAGCCAGAAAGCTCGCCACTTCAAAAGAGGCATCGAGTTAAAAATAGCTGCATGTTCCCCATGCATAATGAATGGCCAGAGACGGTGCTAACGCTAGCTCTTTCCAGGAGTGATCTGCTACGCTCCGTTTGGCAGTCTTGCCCCCCTCCTTTAACCACCAGCGTTCTGAGGGAGCTGTCCACAGACAGGTGCTCAGAGTCAGACAGTATTCCCACGTAAACATCCACAGACCGATTCCAGTCCGCACCGCCGACATCACTCCGTTCCCGTTCACCCGACACGCTTCACTGGCATCACAAGTCAGGTCTGTCCACCTGTTAGCTTAGGTAATGGTGGAACACTTTAGAGGAACACACACATGCAAACAGCATGCACCTTCCTGAGGATTATCTCACTGCGGTCACTTTCTGCCTGGCTTGGTAAGGCTCATTTCCTGCCCAGCATCCCCTCTCTGTTGGTCTAAGCAAACACACACATTCAGACAGGCATGCACTTTCACGGCACGTGCAAATCCCGCCGCCGCCGCCGTTTTCTAGGTGTGTGTTTTTCCTTTCTCGCACCACCCATCCCCCGTCCTGCTTACATGCCAGGCTCTGCTTATGCAGTGCCAGACCGCCACTCTAAACTCATTTGGGTCGATTTTAATGGATGCCCAAAGCCAAGAACTTTCTCCACACCCATTAGATCCGCAGTCCTGTCTGGGAAATGTGGCAATTTGCAATTTCATCTTAATGTTGTTCTCCCTCCAACCAAATATCGCTCCTTCACTCTCTAAGCTCTCATCAGTTTACCTCTTTTCATTTCTTCTCAACATCTTTGACTTTGCATGCATCTCCCTTTCAGTCACTTTCTCCGCCTATTCTTTGCTGCTGTGCTTCGATGCTACTCGTCTCGCTCTCCCTCTTTGCTTTTTTTTTCATGCGAGATGTCTCATTAAACAGCTTCAAAAGTCAAACTTTGACTTTCTCTATCTCTGCTCCCATTTGCCTCTTTGTGGCTCCTTTTCCTGCCTCTCTATAAGCTTTTTTTTCTTTGCTTGCTTGCCGGCTGTGCGTACATGCTCAGCGCAGGCTGAAAGAAGCGCCCCAGAACACAAAGTGTGGGTGTATGCGAACAGGAATGAGAGGAAGAGAGACTGAGGCCTGCAAGCCTCACTCTCCCACTTTGCCAGTGTCTGCCATTAGGGTGTCAGTGGCAGAGTGAATTTATTTGCTGTGCGGTTACTGGGCTAATGATTGATGTTGCCCCAGCAAACAGTAAACCAATTAGAAGGCTGATGTAACGTCATTTTAAAAGCCTCCTAATCACGTTGCTCTTGAACCTGGGACCCGGGCCTTCCCTAATGAAGATTTATACTGGATCAAAGGAGAGCCTAACGCCATTAACAATAGATTGTATTCCACCAAAAATCACATTACGACTTCTCTGCCCACCCTGCTCCCTCCCATCAGGCCTCTGCTAAATATATCTGCTGATTACAAGTGCAGATGCACAGAGGAATGGAGAAACGAGGCAAAGAGCGGGAAGGGGAGGCAGAGAACCGAAAGTTGGCCCACAATTGTTCAGGATAAATGCTCGTAATGATGAACAAAGTCGTCGCTGCAGATGTTCTTCTGTCTTTAGGTGTACAAGGCTGGAAAAGAGAGCTGACATATACATCTAGAGGGCTGGAACAACCAGTAGCTTCTAGTTAGAGTGGCTCAGGTTATCCTGATCTATCTCTATAGTTCTGCTGCTATAGGCTTAGACTGCTGGAGGACATAGGGACCCCTTTTTCATCATTCTGCTTCCTTCATTCTCTCTCTATTCTCCCACTCTGCAGAATCTGTTAGTTCAATCTCTAACGTTCTGCTCTCTCTGCTATTTCTCATAGTTGCTTCATCTGGTCTGTTCCTCTTTGTTTCTAGATGTTGGAGCTTGGCCTGTTTTCCAGTGTAGTCCTGTTTCTCTGACTGTGACTAACTGGATGTGCTCTCTTCATCCTCTGACATGGGAGCTGGCTCGGAGCTCGTCTGCCTGGCTGTGTGTTTCCTGGACGGGGCCGCCTGTGGAGCTGGTTGACAGTTGCCTTTTGTATCTATGCTTCTTTTTCTATGTCTGCTTCTGTCTCCTTGAACCCCAGTGGGCCTCAGCAGATGGCCGCTCACACTGAGCCTGGTTCTGCTGGAGGTTTCTTCCTGTTCAAAGGGAGTTTTTCCTCTCCACTGTCGCTACAAGCATGCTTAGTGTGAGGGATTGCTGAAGAGTCAATGAGTCGATGCAATCAGCTGGTTTTCCTTAGATAGAAAACTTTGAATCAATCTGACTGGATGATCTGGTTGAACTGAAGGTGCCTTGAGATGACATGATGTGAATTGGAGCTATAGAAATAAACTGAATAGAATTGAATTGAATCTAGTGATGAAGAACACAGAGTCAGAGAAAATAACTAGTTTGTCTCTGCAACTTTTATCCTCCTGCTGCCATTTTATCATCCCCTTTACCTTTCACCTACTGATGGATTATTAATGTCACATGTGAAATAAGAACAAGCAGAGCAGCTCATTGGTGTCTGAGTAACTCTGCGGTGCATTAGGGTTGCTTTCCATTGCATCATTATATTTTTTGGTGATAGTTTAAAAAAGCGGCAAGGGAATATTTTAAAGGCAATACCTTCAAAAGTCAGGCGGTTTCTGTTCAGATCTGTCATGTGAGACACATCATGACTTAAGTTAACCATCTGGAATAATCTGGAAAAATACAGTTTTATTTATTCTGATTTGTTTTTTGTGGACGGTGCTTTTTTTTTTTATCATAGTTGATTTCTACTATCTTTGCCATTCGGGCTTCAATCAACAACTCAATAGTATTTGCAGGGCAGACAAAAAGAAATTCGATGAAAAACCAGAATAAAAAAAAACATACTTTTTTTTTTCTTCCTATTTCCCCAAAAATAAGCCAAGCATGTCATATTTTATCTAAAAACTTAAAAGTGTGAAACGTGCATTTAAAAGGAATCTGAATATTACAGTAGATTTAAAACTTTATAAATCTGCTTTTTTAAATCTAAAAGGTTTTGCATGTTTGCTGTTATCCAAAGAAAGGCATCCAGTTTACAAATTCCTTTTGGGCTTTATTTAAAACTAAAAAAAATAGACAAAAGATTCCCCATTTTAAGCAAAAAATAAATACATAAATAAATAAACAAAATAAAATAAAAATAAAATGGGTTGTTATAACTTTTTGGAACTGATTTCTTCATTTAAACAAGTTTATTATGCTAATTGAAGCAGATTTTTGTGCAAAGTTTGCTTTTGAGAAAAAAGTACCTGAACAGATGGGGCCCCTTTTACTATAAAAAATAAAAGAAAAAGCATGGATGTTAAAAGATTGTTTTTTTTAATTGCAGTTAGTGGAAGCAAAGAGTCAAATCCTAAAAGCCAAACTCATGGAATTAACTAAGAAATGTTATTATATTTACTCACATTGTTTGATTTTTTTCAACCTTACTGTTCTTAGCATATATCTTTACGAAGTTATTCTATATATTGTTTCAGTGAAATATGGCTTCATAGTGCATATTTTCAACTGAACTTCAAATTCCTTATTTTTTTCACTCCAGTTTCATACATCTCCCATTCAAACTTAAAAAAGCATTTCATGTGTATTAAAGTTTCATTCCTGCTGTTATATTTAACAGCTCTCATACAAATGTCCTCCTCTCCTGACTAAACTGTTCCTCTGCTCCTGCTTGGATCTACATTACACAACAATTCAACTGTGACACATTTTCTCCTCTGCTTTTTTTGGCTCGAATGTTGCTCTGAGGATTTCTTGAATGAAAAGTTGCAACCTATATGTGATCCCAGGCATTCATTCATCTAAATATTGCAAACACACTGCAAAAAATAGATTTTTTTCTTAAAACAAGCGCATTTTTCATTGAATTAAGCAGGTGAGTGAAATACTTTGCCAATGGAATAAGACAATTTACATTAAAAAATAATTAGATATTACACACTAAATAGTCTTAGATTACATTTACATTTTTGCAGTGCGTTTGCAATGTTATTTTAAGGGTTAACATACTCATTCCATTAGCAGATCATTTTATTTACCCTCTCAAATTAAGGGTAAATAAAGTTATTTGGAGATTTCTTTACTACTTTTAAGTTTGGTTTTGTGTTGCACTGTTTTGTTTAAAGAATTTCAAATATATGCTAGCACCAGGACTAAATAAGAAAACAGAATAAACAAATTTGAGCAGTTCAAGGTCAGGGGATTAAATAGGGACCAGGATTTGGACAAGATATGAAAACAAAGACGAGACGTATGAAGAGATAAAAATGTAGCTGGAATGAGCACACGCTTACCCGAGGAGGAGGACTGAGCCCGTAGCAGGTACGAGTCATCTCGGTGAGGCTCCAGGTGAGAGTGGGTGGAGTTTTTCTCCAGCAGAGGAACCTGGCATTCCCTGATGGGGGGGGACGGACCAGGGGAGGGGTGGTGAGGGGCAGACGAGGACGACGGAAGGGACGGCGGGAGCAGGGTGGAGGAGGAGGTTGGAGGGAGTGGGCGACCTGGAAGATGGAGGGAGAGGAAGAGAGGAATATGTTAGACAGAACAGATGGCTGACAATGAAATGAGGGTCGGTACATTTTCCATGAGTAATGGGCAGAAGCTTTCAGCGGGTAAATGTAGCAAAAACTACCAAAATAACTTTTTAGCCATAAAGATGGCATCTTTCTAATGCCAAAGAGGAAACTAAACTAAGAGAAACTTCTGTTTAATTTAATTTAAATGATGAATCCGTTTTGAAGAGATGCACTAATTGCCTTTTGCAAACGATAAGTCATTTAAATGTGAACTCGAAGCACACCTTCTTGCATTGCTGGATCTACTACAGAAAATGAAATGTAGTAACAGGAATTACACCGCAGCCTTTATTAGATAAGCCATTCAGTAAAGCTGTAGGCAAAAATCGTGCTTCTCCTGGATCTTTATAACAGAAGTAGGAAGCCGGCTCAATTCAAACACAGAAACCTGTGAAGGCTGATGGAAAACTCTGCTGAGCAAGTGCCAAACCAATGTCATTCATGTTTTCAGAATATTTTTATGATCATATTCTATATTTTAAAGAAAAATAATAGCACAGTCCTTACTTTTTTCATAACTAGTGAAAAAAAAAAGCAAAATTACTGGGGGTTCTTACCCCCTTATGCTGCTATAGGATTAGACTGCTGGAGGACATAGGGACCCCTCATTCCGCTTCATTCTATCTTTATTCTCCCACTCTGCAGCATCTCTTAGATCAATCTCTAACATTCTGCTCTCTGTGCTTTATCTCATCGTATGATCCGGTGAACTGTAAAGTGGCTTGATGTGTTGTGAAATGGCGCTATATAAATCAAATGAATTAAATTAAAGATAAACACTGGTTCTGCCATCCAATCATGTTTTTCTACCAAGTATTAGCGACTTATGAACTGGTCTGCTGTCACTACATTTTTCCTCTTCGCATTTAGTTCCCTGTTAGAACCATAAACAGAATTATATTAGTGAATTATTTTTCTCCAAAACGCTTATTTTGGCCTAGCAAAACAGATGACCAATCTTCAGAGATGGGAAGTAACGAAGTACAAATACTTTGTTACTGTACTCAAGTAGATTTTTCTGATATTTTTACTTTACTTTACTACTTATTTTTATGGCGACTTTTTACTTCTACTCCTTACATTTTAAAAAATTGTCTCGTTACTTTAGTTTTGAATCATTTCAATGGAGTTACCGTTATTATTTTTCACGTCATCAATACCAAATTCAATCTAATTGGATGGGAATCTACGTTGCATTTGACGCACCACTACAAGATGAATCGACAGATTCGGCGGTATTCATTGGCGGCAAATCATTGCAGCTTGGTGGCGGTGGCGTTAGCATAGTAGCATGGACGACGAGATGATTGAAAATGAACACAACGGAGATCTAGTCCTATTGGCAGACATCCATTTAAAATGTAGGCAACGGCATGAAAAAAGTGGTTTCTACTTTTACTTTTATACTTTAAGTAAATTTACAAGCCTGTACTTTGTTACTTTTGCTTGAGTAAAGAAGTTTAATCAGTACTTCCACTTTTACCAGAGTATTTTTTAACACAAGTATCTGTACTTTTACTCAAGTACGGAAAGTGAGTACTTTTGCCATCTCTGCCAATCTTCCCCAAAGTGGCTGCTATTTCACTGAGTGTGATCAACACAAAAACCACAGCTAACAGAAGTCCACTCCCAACTCTCCTTAACTATCCGTCCATCTGTGCAGGACACAACAGGACACACGTAACGGTGTCCATATTCACTGAACATGTCAATAAGCCATAGGGAAACATGCTGTTTATTGGGACCCTAATTTTAATAAAGTCTTGCGGGGTGAGACCACATTAACAAATTAAAAAGACAAAAAAAAAAAGGGAAAAAACCCACAAACACGAATTTCATTCGATTTTTCTTGTTAGTACAAGTATGAGTTGTTTCCTTTGTCAAATTTCATAAAGTCCCATTTCACCATGAACGGTTGTTCACAAGGGCCTACATTTATTGTTCGATTGTCCTCTACGTGGCTAAGTCGAAAGAAAGTTAACAGTCAAGTCTTTAAATAGTTGGAGCCATGGGATGCATGGACACAATCAGGTTGTCCCATCCACCAGAGGGAGGAGAGAAGGATGAAGACAATTCCCACTACTCTCCAAAGGTTTGAAATCAAGGACAAAGACAAATCTAATAAATTCTATTTAGAGACAGCTCAAAATATAGAATAATTATGGCTGCCATATTTGCAGCTCAATCAATCAACAATATGGTAAGAATGAGGCCACGGAGTCCAGCGAAACCACTAAAGGACTCGGGTTATTAGAGCCACTAATTAGGTAGTCGACCAAAGACTTTCCAACTTCCATCTTCTGCTGATTCTAAAGTTTAAATTATAGTCCCAGGTTCTGGTAAACCTTCAATATTTACTATAAAGTTAAAAAATGTTTTAACGTTCCTTTTACCAATAATGAACTCATCTGGAAAACCTTAAACTTTTTCTATAAAAGATTTTTTTACCGAGCAAAACAAGAAGATTGCTGAGTGTTGTTCATTGATACTTTCAAAATATATCGACAGCATTCTCTGTGCTTTTGCTGAATATTGACAGAAATGACAAACTAAAAGTCAAAACTTGCAAAGTGCCGCACACACAGATTTCTGTGCAGAAGACTAACATCAAGGAAAAAGGTACCGGGTCGAAAAGAAAGGGAGGAGAATCAATGCTGACATAATTTAGGACCCGTAACAGTTGGGTGTATTTGATGGCTTACTTGCTCGCTCGTCCTGCATCAAAATGAAACACATAAATCACTTTTGTATCTGCAAATGCTGCTCTCTGTGTCCTGCTTGCTCTGTGGAGAAATTCTGGAAAGGAACAGACGCCGACCGGTGATTTTTGTCCGAGCTGCTCCACCTTGGAGCTTTGCATCGCGGAAACCAGAGCCTGGATCGATCCACAGCCCCACGCTAACTGCACCCCAGAGAGATGCCGGCCTTGTCTTCTGTTTAGGTATGTGCACGTGTGCCTTGGTGTATGTGTGTATATATATATATATATATATGGTCAATCTCGTCAGAGCAAACAGAGAAAAATGGATAAACAGTGGCAAAGGAAATACTGCAAGCTGACAAGAGGGAAAAGGAGATAGAAAAAGGAGGGACTATGACAGACGGAGGAGGAGGTGTGAAGAAGTTAAGGTCACAGGGGTATCTAAGGGAATAGAGACTAAAAAAAAGAAAAATAGAGATGGAGAAAAAATAAAGCACGGAAAAAAGACGGACAACAAGCCAAAAAAAGGAAGATAACTCTTTACTGCTAAAGAGGCCCACATTCACACATGCATGAACTTTATTGACATCCCGTTCCTTCATGAATATGCTTGGTCTGCCCACCTTCACAGCTATGGCTGATTTAACTTCTCTGGCTAGCCTGTTCACGAGGTTTAGCAATGAGTTCATGGGAATATTTCAATGTTCTCCCAGAACATTTGTGAAGCATTTCTCAGGTCAGACACGGACATTGGATGAGAAAATGTAGCCAGCAGCCTTCTAATTCACCCTGAAGGTTCTACTAGTTTAAGGTCAGGAATTTCTACAGGGCAGGCAATTTCCTTCAAACCAAACTTCTTCAAATGTATCAGTATTTGTGCTCTGGTTCATTTTCAGTATTAAGTTGTTCACAGCAAAGCAAGTCCATGAAGTTGTCAAAAATATTTTGGTATTCTGAAAGCCTTAGGAGTTCACTGGAAGTACAATGCCCAGCGTTTCCCAGAAAACCAGGGCAGAAGAGTCATTACTCCTCTAAATCTGGCACAATGCTTTTGGGTAACTGCCAAACTTAGACTCTGTTCAATGCTTTAGGAAACACATCACAATTGTTCTGTAGCACAATCTTTGCATGCATAACACCACAGGAAAACCAACTTAATTTAGGGATATAAAGTTGGTTGTTCCTCAAATAAAATAATCTGATAAAGATCAACTAGTGACAAATTAATTATAATATTTAGTCATTCCCTGTTGGATTAATTGATCGCAGAGCATCCTATTGATGCCCACTGAACTCATGTGCACGACCCATTATCCCCATTTACCCTCTGAAAACCGTTCCGTAACGAGCTTGGATCAGTTAACCGTGCCGAGCTTGGTTCCTTATGACCGTTTACATCTTGCACGGTTCCTCGCCCCCTAGAGGTGATCTATGGTACTACTGTCCTCTAGAGGTAGAGGAATTTTGCAGAGAGTCAGGCGAAAAAGGCAGCCTTTGGTGAATTTACTTGACATAGTCAGGTTTTGGGAAGTGGATACGACAAACGATAGTCTAATCTGGGCTTCCAGATGCAGGAAATAACGACAGACGTCAAAGTTCATCACACTGCTAAGCAGAAATACTGGAAACTTGTGTTGCACCAATGCCATTTTTGGCCCTGATACCAATACCCGATACCTGGCTGTGAAGTATTGGCCGGTACCGATACCATCTGTTTGAAATTGATGTGTGTGTGTATATATGAAGAACTTTATACTACTTGGATGTAAAATAATTACCATCATGGCTTTGTCAAGCTGCTGCCTTCCTTTGTGAAGCAGGAAAAAGACTAAAACAAAGTGAATCCAGTAGAACTTTTTATTGCCTACCTGGAATGGGTGACAATAGTTGAATAAGCTATTGTTCCACTAAGAGGAATGACTCTTAGTGGAACCTCCCTACATGTCAGCTTTAGCCACTCCTCTCTCCATTAATTTAATTTAAATTCAGTTTATTTCTATAGCGCCAATTCACAACACGTTTCATCTCAAGGCACTTTATAGAAACAATTCAATCAGATCTTCCAGTCAGACTGATTCAAAGTCAGAATTCAAATTCACGGGCTGCATCCTCGGAAGTCCATATTCAAAGGCCGATTACGTCATAGCTAGTGTTGCACCAATGCCATTTATTGGCCCCGATACCAATACCAGGCTGTGCAGTATCAGCCGATACCATACCAATA